GCCGTTCAACCCTACCTTAATCTAATGCTTACCTAACCCTAACCTAACTTCAATGAACTTGTGGTTGTGATTTTTTTCGTCGAGACTATCCTTTTTTTTTTTATCATAGAGTTGTGCATATTTGGTTAAAATTTAATATCTGCATTCCGCATAACTTTTCTCCGTAACGATTACTTCAATTAATAAATCATAGTCCTTGTACACAACCTCAATCACTAACCCTAAATCAGTTAGCATCTACTAATTTCCGAATAATCCTAGCCAATGAGAAACTTGGGAGGAAAAATTGATCATTCGATTAGGTGTTCTCAAACATCTCGCTAAATGGATCGGAGGCACAATTTTTAATTGGCGTTAGTCGGATATGAATAAAATATGAGGATATTCATAGAAATACTCATCTGATTGGCTAAAATTTAAAATCCGCATTTCGCAAAATTTAAGCAAATCCGTCCTTTAAATTAACTGCCATAATCACTCAATTGCAATTATTTGAGCAACATTAAGGAATCTGTTTGAGAACACCCTAAAGGCCATAAATGGTCAACGGATCATAATAGATAAGTTCCGAAAGTTCCGACGATTATCACCGAACTTAAATTATGTTGAATATTTTGCAATTTCACATGTGACTTCTGAAGTGCTCTCAAAATAAGCGAGACAAAAAGGTAAGGCAGAAGTTCACGAATGGAAAATTTAGGGTGTCCTCAAACGGCTTCTTCAACGTGATTTGCTAGTGATCGAGATTTCAAAATGATCTAATTAACAATTTGAAATGCGGATTTATAACTCCGTGAATACCAACTCACTTGGTTAGTTTGTTTCAATTTTTCCGATAATATTATAATTTTGATATCGATTCATTGAGCGAGAACACCTTTAACCTACTTATATAATGCCAAATACTTTTATCTTATGATTTACATGCAATTTGCAAAAAATCTGCAGACAAATTTACTTGAGACGGATTAAAGGATAATCAATTATCCAGGAGATCCCCTGTCATCCACGTTACAAACTTATCTGCTATTGAAAAAATAAAATCTTACGAATTGTCTTTAATATAAAGGTACCTAATCGCCGAAGACAAATACGTACTATATATATACCAATAGAAATAAGTTTATGATTGTTCTCCACAGTTAGAAAAAAAGGGGTTATTTTACAGAACCAAATATTGATTAAAAAATACCTTATAGAGGTGGTGACATATGATTACGTCAAAAGATGATCAGTTACATCAAGGTGTCATGCGTGCGTATATCGTAATACGTAGTCGACATTTGCACAACTAGGTTTTAATCCTATTGTTACCTGTTACGTAGACATGATGCATGGTGTGATATACGTAATTAAAAAAACGTACGTACGTACGCACAAAATCGAAGCTTTACGTAAAGAATTTGAGGCGAATGCATCTATTTAATAACCCTTATTTTACACAAACTTTTTCGAAATTTACATTATATAACATTATATAGTAAAGAACAATTTATAGGACATTTCTCCTTTTAGTGAAATGAAAAAATTCACTATGTCAAAGGTTTTTACTCTATTTTTACACTATTTTGAAAGAATTTCAAACAGACTAGTTTCGAGTCTAACTTCATTTTTTTTTAGTTAATATAACGATATCGATATTATGACACATGTCTGAAGTTACAAGTCAAAATATTATAGCATATATCTGCATTACCCGAGTCACGACTGTGAATGCTACATAAAATTACATCATCGATCATATTTCTGCATCAATATCATTCGATAATAATGGTTCTTTATAGTTCAGGATTTGTAAAAAAAACTTAATTAGAGTTACGAGTGGAGCATCTTCAAAACTTTTCGGAGTTTTACACAATTTATATATTTACATATAAACCTAATATGATTTCTTTGTTAAGAGCTCCATTTTCATATTAAATATGTAAGAGGCCGAATCAGGCTTGATAACCAGAATAGAATCAAAATTTAGCTAGAATAGACTTCTTTCTTTGAGATATTAAAGTTTTTTTTTATTTAATATATATTACGCATTTCGGCAAATTTTCTTTTTCCGTCAATAAATTCTGAATTTAATGTAGTACGCGTGAATGTCATACACGATTTTTGATAAACATTTACACATATGCACACATGTCACATTCGACGGTGTTTCAATTTCAAACTTTCTCTACTTTGACGTAAGAGAGAGTTTTTTTTTATGATGTTAATATAAAAAAAATTGTTATTTCACCATTGCAAAAACAAATCCAGTAAATTTTACATTGTTAACAATGTACGATAAAGAGTAAATTTATTAATATCTTAAAATTTTTTATTGTGAAATAGTTTTTTCCGGACCGGAGTTTTAAATCCTCTAGAGCTTTTCTGCTTTTACCAGTCACACTCATTATATATATATATATCTTTAATAATATCAATGTATTTTCATGTTTTATCAAACTTGAATAAATTCCTTTTATATTTTACGCTTTTTCTCTTACAATCATTATTAGTTTATTCTAAAGGAGGAGGAGGGAGTGAGGGTAGTAGCCCATCATCTGGTTCGTATAGTGGCAGTTCAAGCTCTAGTTCAAGTTCTTACACATCATCATTATGGGTCTTTTGGTATTATGATAACGACGGAGTTAGAAAATGTGGAAATTACTGCATAGTTATGTTTTCTATTGTCGGATTTATAATCTTATGTAGGTACAATTGGCCTCTGATAGACTCAAATATTTTGTCAGATACAAAGTATTCTATGTATTATTATTATTTATACTATTATTATTTTATAACTATTACTAAAAATTAGATATCTTATTCTAGGTATTATTTTATGTGGAATTTGGAGATGTTATATGATAAAACAATTTTACAAAGATGATCGTATACATAATGATTATGAAAGTGCATTTGAAGATTTTATGCGTGAGCATGAGATAGCAACAAACAATCATAATCGAAATCAAGTAGAGTTACAATATCCTCCATTAGCTCATTCTACTCCTGTGAATGATCCTCCACCAGCTTATGATACTGCATATGGTGAAGAATCTCATTTACATGGTTTAAGACATAATGCCTCTTACGAAGCTTACAAGGCCGGTAGACAATTTACACGAGATAATCCACCTCATGAAATATTACCGCCAAGAGAACATATTGTTTATATTTTATCAAATGGAGGAGCTAAAGCTTGGAAAATGGTGATATATGCTAATGATGCTCCGGGTAGCACTTCCATGTTTAAAGATATGGCAAGTATATCGGATGACGGACGTACTGTAACATTCCATGGAAAAAATGACGCAATGGTACAAGCAAATTATCCACTTTTCAGGCCACAACTTGATAATGATGATGATTCTTTACAACCACATTCAAACATAATAAATTCAGCAACTTCGAATAATATATCATCGTCAAATTTACCACCAGATTATGAACAAAGTACTTCGTCTGAAAAACAAATTACCTCATTAAATTTTGATCAGA